GGATATATGGGTTCTGCTTTTAGCTTCTGACAGGAGTTAGAACTGCAGATCCACTAAAAATATTTGTTATTGGATTCAGTTCGACAGGGAATAGGAGTTTAAATACTTGTATACATTTGCTTCTATCAGTAAGTCTTGAATGCATTTGATTCTGTCAGTAAGTATGCACATATAAGAAATAAAGGTACATGGTTTTTAAAAGGCAGTCTGCATTGGAAATCCTGACCTAAAAAAAATGTTTTTAGCTGCTGTTAAGATCTTGCTTTGTTGGTGTAGTTATTTGGAACAGAGTATCACTTCTTAGAAGATGCTTGCAATTTCAAGGGCAACAACTGACTAATAGGACTACATCCACTAACATCATAAGAATTTATTCCATTACTTCAGAGAAGCTAAAGAAGTGGGGTGGCTTTGTTGCAGGAAGACACAACGAAAGCGTACATTCCAAGTAAAAATAGAGATTGTGGAGTATGCAGGTGTAAAATGGGATAGTCTTTGCATCATCTTTTTGCAAGAATGCCTGAGAACTGCTAAATGATGTTCAGAACAAGAAGAGCAAAACTCTCATTTGGTTTTTGCTTTAATGTAGTCTTAAGGAACAGAGATGTGACTTTTTGCTGTGCAGCAATCGCAGTGATGGCTGATGCCTTCCAGCCTTACAGAAATTCACGGTTTCTGAGAGAGCAGCCTCAAAAGCCAGTCTTTCACTTAGTGCAGAAAGCAGCAATGTAGGCAATTGCCTTGGTGGAAGCTAGAGCAGATTTTTTGCCCTTTCACTTTAAGAGGAGATGGAACATAGAAGAAAAAAAAGAACAACACAGAAGTTGGTTTATATGTCAGAAGATTCTGGATTGGACATAAAATGTGGGCTTATAACAGGTTGTTAATAAAAAATTCCTGAGTTCTGTAGGTAAAAATGGAGATTGGAAGGCATGTTTTCTGTTTATCAGTATCAACAGACTGAAAGAAATATGTTTTCTTCCTCTTCTTTTGCACGCACACCTCATGATCAGTTTCTCATTGTGATTTATGATGTGTGAATCCAGGTCATTCTGCCTTAGGTAAGGACCACCTTTGTTCTCCTTTTCAAGTCACACACTGCAACTCTACCATCATCACAGGAAAAATTTTGGCATGCAGTTAGGTCAATAGTTGAATTTGTTACTTTAGAAAAGAACAAAAGGTTGCTAGAAATTTGTAGAGTCTGTTATGTAAGCCGTCAGAAAATGGACCTGACGGCACTTCTTCCTTTGAGTCTATTCCCTCTTGAGTTCTCTGAGCCTGATCTTGAGTCTGTAAAGCAACTAATGGTTTTGAGTGCTTTAACAAAGCATTGGAAGAACAGGAAGAGTTTGGGGGATATACACATTCTCAGCACATCAAATTCTGCAGCTCTTTGTGTTGCTATAAATGTTGAGTGTCTTGAATGCAGGTAACAGTTTGTCTGGATGCGTAACCATGAAACAGCAGGATTTGTTGCAGCCTATAGATTATTTAGTTTCCTTTTACTTGAATTCATTACAGCTCTTGGACCTCAGTTAATTGCAACATTGCTTAGAGTTATAAGACCCTGTGATAACTCTGTACTTTTACCTTTGGGCTAAGATACATTGTTATGAATTATGCAGAAAAAAAAGTCTGTCACTACCCCTGCATAGGACATTTTCTGGATATATGCAGATTAGCCTGTCAGATTACTCAGATTCCTGTTAAACTGTGATGGCTTATTTCATTTGCTGCAGCCATCACAGCTGAATATGAAATGAAAGGGTCAAGCTGTTTTAGCTTTGACTTTTGCTTTCTTGACATTTTTTGACTTTGAGGCAGATGTTTAGTACTTCTCAGAATATTTTCTGAAGACTGTGGGAGATATTCTCTTTTGTGCTTTCTTCCAATATTGAATCTCCATTATGCTAAAAATAACAAATATTTTTTTTTACACTCACATAGAATTTTCAGAGCAGTGCAAAATGATGAATGGGCCTCATATCACATTAATTTGTCAGCCCTGGCTATATAGCCCCCATCATAGTTATCAGATATAGTCTTATTGTTGAGTAAAAGGGGAGAATGGCAGAAACATCTGTTCAGTTGGGAAATGCTGATATTTTAAAATGTCAGTTACAATAAATGGCTTTTCTAGAGCTACTTTTTAAATATCTGTTGTTAAGAAATAAATTAAAATTTGCAGCATGCTTCAGGAGAGAAGGAGTCAAGCAGAGTACTGTCTACCTTTAAAAAATAATTTTTAGGGACAAAATATCTATATAATCAAAATCAATCTTATTTATATTTTCGTGAAGTTTTTTTCAGAAATAGCTGAATACAGATTTCCCAGTAATTTTGTAGTGGCATATTTTCCTTTGCTGCAAATGTATTCTGTAATACTCTGTGAGCATGGCAGTAAAATCTATCGCTTGCAAATAGTTATGCACCAGCTCTCTAATATTAGAGAGTATTTGATACAATTACCTATGGTTAATAGTACTTCTCTCTTCAAACAATATCAAACATTGCTGAAGTCAATGTATTAACAAGAACAAACATATCACAATCACCCACTTTGTTTTTCAAATACAACCATTTGGTTAATAATAACAGATTTTTACTCAACTATGTTTCTGTGTTCTAGACTGGACGGAAAAATTGCTTGCATGTAATGTAATCACACAGTGGTCTTGTGTATGCATATATAGTTGGCATGATGTTGAAGAAGAGTTTCTTATTTGAAAGTATGAGACTGTATTGAATTCAACATCCTGAAAAGAAAGACTATTACTCTCTATTATGCCTCCTTTCGGCTTTTCTAAGGTCTTAAAACTGATGTCTCTTCTTCCTTGGCAGAAGTTGCTCCTCAAAATTACACAGAGCTGAACAATCCCACTATCTTGTGCTCCCATGAGTATTTCTATTGGTGTAGAGTGAGTTTAAAATGGAGTGAAAATCCAAATCACACCATAGCTGGAAAATTAAACCCAGATTTCTTCAAGAAAAAGAAAAGTAAATCTTGGTTCTCAAGAGTAAAGCTGATGTTTATCAAAATATCACCAGTAATTGCTGCATAGCAAGTGACTGTTAATTTGAAATTAAGTCTAATAGGAATTCCTGGTTTGTTTCTTCAGTAGATGAGTTTCACCTCTTATGAATACAACATTAATCTGTGCTCTATCATAAAACAAATGAATTAATAACCTAAATTATATTTTAAGATGTTTAATTTTTAAATTATTTATGATTGGGATTTTCTGCACTTGATCTGCAGTAATCTTTGCTCAAGAAAAAAAAAAAAAAGATGAAGCTTTTCTGTGTTTTCTTTTTCATAGGGACCTTCACCTACTAGCTCTCAAATAATAAATGTTCCATAGTTGGGGAAGACATTGCTGGGACTAAAGACATTAAAAATATTATAGATTCATTTATATATTAAAAGTGGATTAGCTGTTGTGTGCCTACTTTGGCCCCAGTGCAGTGTAATCTGTTGCTATCCATTTCATAAACTTGTGCCTATTTTAATTAATTTCACATAAAATTGAACAGAGACCAGAGTTTTCATTTTATGGACAAGTCTGCTACCTTGCCATAAATGGGTCCAATGGATAATAAACAGTATACACATTTGTCTGAAAGGAAAGCCATGGCAGAAGGATGATTTTAAATCAATTGAAATTTTCCTCCAACAGCTCAAACAAATTTTGGAAGAGTTAAAAAATAAAGTGATAAAGAGAACTGAATTTAACCTCTAAATAAATTTTTGAATAATGTATATAGGGGTAACATGGTGGTAGTGGTATGTGCATCATCTTTTCTAGTAGCAGTAATTATTTTCATATGAATAATAGTATTGTTCCAATCTACAAGTGAAATGTGTATCCTTTATCAAAGTATTTTTTCTAATAGTAAGCTCATAAGACAAAAAATATTTTGTAATATTTCTGCTATGAAATTTGTTGCATTCCTAGTTTAGGTTTTGATGACATGGCATTTGCTAGTAGAAAACGGATGCATCAGAGCAAGCTAAGTTGGTTTCCATTATATATTTTAAGGTAGGTTGTGATCTCCTGCCTTACACTGGGCCCTCAGTGTAAAAGGAATTATCCCAGAAACCCTTAAACTTGAACAGTTTGTTTTCCAGAGGTTTTTTTGATAATTTACAACATGTATCAATTTTTTATCCTGTCCATCTCCCCGTTGCCATCATACAGCGGTTAGCAGTTGCATCTCTTGTATATTCATGTCCCTTTGCATAACTGTGAAATTTATTGTGTCAGTGTAGAAAATGCAGTCTTACATTGCTTATAAGTCATTTATACAGTGCTATACAAAAATGTGTAATATGTTAATTTCTGTGCAACAGACAATTGAGACATTGGTATTTTAACGCTTGATTCAAGGCTAATGGTCAACCTGCTGAAGATGACAAACCCATATTCTCTAACAAGTCCACCATCTTTCTAAAACCTACAGAACTGAAAAATGATCTGGTTTATGTAAAATCTTCTTAGATTTACAATTCTGCTTCATTATGAAATTAGGATTGATACTACAAGTATATTAATTTCACCAAATGTTAGAGATATAAAAGTTAGGTGACTGGTATAAATTAACATAGGAAGAAACACTTCTGGATGGGTGTTTTATTTAATTTATCATGCACAGCCATCTTAAAATGAGATGAGTCATTCACTCACATGCCCCTCTCTCTCTCTCCACTCACTACAGGGAAAGCTAAGCTTTGATTAGAGAGCTAACTTTAGGTGGATAAAACCAGTAGAGATAAAATCCACGCATAGGAATTTAAGGCTTTTGGTTTCTTCTGCTCAGAAAATTATTCTTCAGCTTTGAGGTTGTAAGGAGACAGCAAGAGGGATAGAGCCAGAAGGAAGGAGGAATAAATGAGCACCACACTCTTCCTAGTCAGAATTCCTGGTTACCTTGTTGAGTTAGCTTCCTTTTACATACTGGTAAACAATCAAATGAAAGCCCAAAATGCTTTACCATACCTGATTGTGGACTTTGTTTGAGGATTTTGGCTGCTGCTTCAGGGCTGGAGGTGGCACGCACACGTTGATTGGCAGAGTTATGGATGCTACTTGGAACAGCTGCTGAGATGTTTTTGCGAGGTTTCATGTCTTGCAACCACATTGGAGATGCCTCAAAGGCTTGCATTCGCCGAGAGTGACTGTTAGCGTTGACTTTGAGAAATGCCTGTGCCTTGTATTCCTGAAGGTCTCCATAGTTGGCATCGGTCACCCTGCACTCATACAAGCCTTCATCCTTTTTCCTCACTTTTGAAATCTGCAGCTTGTGGGAGATGTCATTCCCCTGTACTTTCACTGTCTGCAAATTTGCCAGGAAAACAAGCAAACAAACAGGTTGTCAGGTATTATTCTTTCTCTGGGAAGACTCTACAGCTGTAGAGCCTGTCCAGAGAAGATCAAGTGCCAAATTTATCAGTGGTGCCGTTGTGCTTACTGCAGGGAAGTTGCATCAAGGATAAATATGATTATTTGTACCTATAAGGATGTCTGACATCTTCTTCCCGAAGGAGTTTAGATATTTGCTCTTAAGTGCTAATTGGCTTCAGTCAAAAAATCCAAAGTACCATGCTTATTCCAGTTAATTGCTTAAGATCAGGAACATTCCTAATGAACATTCTTATATAAATCTAGTATCTATACACTTCATAGGTTAAATCTTTTCAGTTAGTTGGCTTTATTGAATATTCCATTCTTGAAATAGTGCATTAAATTTTTTTTATATGTTTGCCAAACTTTAGATTTTTTTAATAACAATTTATTAGATTACCTTATATTCTTCACGACACTGAAACTGCATATTTGACTTTCAATTTGTCTCCTTTGAGCACATCCAAACATTTGCTATTTTTTGTTTATTGACCATAACAAGACATCTTGTGTCAGGGAGTTTCTTTTTTCTCATTTATATAAGTGCGTACTTAATAGAAGGCATATATCATATCTGCAGCACAGATTCAAGTAACACATATTCAATATTGTTTTAAAAGTTGTCAGCTAAAGGAAGAGTCCTGGTTTATTTTTAATTGCTGTTAAAATCTGAAGATATGATAGCATATTTTTGTCTCACATAATTAGAACACACATAAGTAAATTATGCATCCAGAAACATGTGATAGGTATTAAGATGCATTAGGAAACATAATACAGATTCCTGACTCTGTGTTCCTCACTTTAGAGAATTTATATTTAATTAATTGGCTATTACTCTCTAGCTGGATTAATATCTGTTACCCCACAGGAAGCCAGTTGAAAAGGATTCAGTAAACTTCAGCTC